TATTAAAGTACTTAAATATAATTAAAAAGAAAAAAATAAACGAATAATTATGGACAAAAAATTATGATGAAGTTTAAATCGTAAAAATTTCCATGATGACTATTAAATTATAATCTATAAATTACGAAAACAATTGCAAGCAGAGTACATTTGTTCCGTTGGTAAATATTGGGTAAAAGCTGAGCTGTAATTTCACAGTACCGTCGAGTCTACGTCTGTCTGCTATACTAAGCTGTCGTGATATGGAGGTTGGAGCGTAGAATTTGAATTTATCTACACTAAGTTCCTACGAGCTAAACAAATTGTGTATCACACGCTCTCTTATCATGGATCATACTCCACGTGTTAGTTCATCATAGCGAGTATAGTTGTATTTGGTAGTCGAGAGAGTTGAGTAAATAAAAGTGACCTCGGGTAAGTTACCGACACGTGAATGTTAAAGTGCCGGCAATGATTTACCGGACCAAGGATATTGCTTCTCGTTCAACAATGTGGTTTTGTCAATGACAAAATTAATTAATTAAAGTGTTAGTATAATAATCTTTTCGTTCGGTATTAATTGTTATATTATGTTTTTTTGAAAATTAAATTAAATTGAATTATATTAATTTAATATTTTAAGTCAAAAAGATGAATATTCTAAAGTTATATAAAAAGTACTATAAATTATAAATTATAACTTTTTGCATATTAATATGATGAAAAAATATATTTTGAAATATTGATTCAAATTTTTTAAAATAAAAATCATAACAAATAATATCGAACGAATAGGTTACAAGTTAAAAACTTATGAATCACATTTTGGGTCCCTATATTCATTATTAGATCCCCACTACTTTCTTTGAAAATAGGTTTTGTTTCCATTATTATCGACATAAATTAGTATGTTTGGTAAACATTTGTATATGGAGATAAGGCATCATACTCTCTTATTTTAATTTTTAATACAGATAAAATTTTCAATAAGAAAATCAGAATATGAAAGAAGTAATTCCAAGCAGCCAAGGGGTATCAATATACATATAAATAAATTATACGTATTATAATTCTTTTACGAAGAATTGTCAATTGACATCACTTAAAAAACATATGGCTTTGTCACTTATCAGGTGAAAAAATTAGAATCATAAAATTGTCATAAAAGAAAAGCAAAATAGACAAATAAAAATGGAAGAGTATAATTTAATCCAAGAGAAAAAAATTAATATATCTCTCAACTTTGTCATTTGTAATTAATATGTCTTTTTTTTATAAAAATAATTTGTATATATCGTTACCATTATACAAACAACTCACAAAATTGAGGAACATAAAAAAATAATTTTAAACATATTATACTAATTTATGTTAGTATAAAAACTTTATTAAATATTCTCAATATTTATGTGATAAAAAATATAAGATTTTTTTTAATAGATCAATAAAAAGTAGTACAATACCAAACAAAATGAAATATGGTGTAATAAAATTTCTCATTTTCTTCATGATCATAGTTAGAATAACGACTCAAAAAAGATCGCCAACTAAGAAGAAGAAAAAAAGTGAAAAATTGAAAAAGTATTCATCATAACTAGTCAAGTTGCACTCAATAACATCGTATGTCAAATTATTTCTATAATCTAGTACCTTAAATATTATCCATTTCATTTATCATAAGAGTCGACACTATTATTTTTTGAAAAAATTATTTTCGAAATAAGGATACTTTTTTTAAATTAAAAGTAAATTTTACTTTAATTATTAAATATAAACTTCAAAATATTTTACAGACATAAATAATACAATATAATAAAATTTCGCCGATGGAGACATTAGCCGGAATAAAACATTAAATAATATTGTAACACGACAATATTTCAAGCTACAAAGTCCAACTCATTGCCTACATTTTTCTTTGCCTTTAGCTGGACACCTCAGTTAGTTCACAATTGTAAGACAAATGAAAATAATGGAGAAATAAAAGAACACAAGGGAGAGGAAAGGAATTGGTAAATTGGGTCAATTAATATTGGCGGCACTGAAATGATTTGAGATTTATCTATCCTATACAAGAAGGCTGGACTTCAAACTATTGAGAATAAAAAATTAAGGAATTTATCGTGCGTAAATTCAAATTTAGTTGAATCCAATTTAGACGATTTCTTTTTATTTTACAAAAATAAGGCAAATTAGGGCGAGTGGGACATTTTCCTTTGATTGCAAACTACACAGCTCATTTGGTCCAGAGTCTATTATGGTAGGAGTAGTCGTTCTAATTATTTCGTTTTTAACGTTTCATATATGTTCTTTAATGATACAACTTGTAACAATTTTTTGGTGATACTAAAGAGTAAAGACATTTTTTGTCATTGATCACTGCAAATCGAAGAAAAACATAATGAAGCTTTAACAAATAATTAATTTATCAGAATGGTGAAGTATATCTATCATAATTGAACCTTTTTTTGGTTCTTCTTTTGAATTCTAAAAAGTCAAGAAAATATTACTTAAAATATGTGTCTTTCTTGTTATTCGTTTCAAACGATCCTTAGTGAAGATAACTGTGGGGGATCCAATAGTTGATCATCTTATCTGCTATGTAAAGTTTCACTTTTCGTAATAAGAATGATTAGTGATAAAAATAATTTTACTTTGCCTTAATGAAATAGTTTACTGAGCCACACAAACATCTATCATAAATTTTACAAAAAAATATTTTGAAGCGACTCAAATAAAAATGGAACAAATGCAGTATGTATTTCATCATAAATCGTAAGAGTTCGTTGCTAAATTTAGTTACTCTGGTATTTTTTTTAATTGACGGTTTAACTTGTTATACTAAAAGTAATATAGATATATGTTGCACAATCTTTCAAGAACATAGTTGTTTGTTAATAGCCTCCACTTATTTAGCATAAAAGAAAAAGGAATTGACGGACCTTATGAATAATTTTTACTCCTTTCGTCTTTATTTACTCGTTCACTTTTGAATTGAAAAGTTGTTTGTTAATAGCCTCCACTTGTTTAGCATAAAAGAAAAAGGAATTGACGGACTTTATGAATAATTTTTACTCCTTTCGTCCTTATTTATTCGTTCACTTTTGAATTGACAAGTTGTTTGTTAATAGCCTCCACTTATTTAGCAGAAAAGAAAAAGGAATTGAGGGACCTTATGAATAATTTTTACTCCTTTAGTCTCTATTTACTCGTCCACGTTTGAATTGAAACACTTATTAAGAAAATAATTATTAACATATTGAGTTTATCATTTTACTCCTATTAATTATGAAGTGAATGTATTTTCAAGAAGTTTTATTTTTTCAAAAGTAATTAATTGAAGGTATAATAGAATTTTTCTTTTAATTTGTCAAAATAAACAACTAATATAAACGGAAAAATGAACGGAGACAAAGAAAGTGTTAACATTTTATTCTGAAATAACAAATTCCAATGCTATTATCACACATTATGGAATACTTAACTTATTTCAGTACAAGTTGTCCACTTTAGAAGTTACACCCAGATTGAGACACCAATGATTATCATAGGTTATTTATAATTTTACTCTTAACTTAAAAGATTATGCAACTCTCCAAGTATAATAAATATATTTTCTAGTTCCAAAAAGCATGCATTACAACTTAGTAGTACTAAAAATTTTCTAGAATCAAATAAGGTACTAGTTCTAATTATAACTTATTTCAAGACTAATAACTAGATAAGAAATAAGTCAATACAAAAATTTTACAAAAAAGTATCAAATATATTTTTGTATATTTGGAAATAATTTATATATATCTTTTGTTATATTTTAGGGTCATATATACCCCTCTCGTCATATTTTGGTACATATATACCTTTAATTTTAACAGAATGACACATGTCAGTTTAAAAATCAAATAATTCATCCTCAATTACCCAATTACTTAAACACTAGGATGTATTATTTGATTTTTACGCTGACATGTGTCATTCTGTTAAAAGTAAAGATATATATGTACCAAAATATGACGGGAAGACATATATATGACCCTAAAATATAACAAAAGATGTATAAAAACTATTTCTAATAGTATAGAAATACATTTGATCCTTTTCCAAAAATTTTATGCCAAACTATTCGTTGGTTTCTTAGAAGTTTTTGGCCAAAAACATCTTTTAACTATACCCAAAACTTAAACTGCATCCTTAAAGTATCAATTCTAGCAGAAAATATCTTTTAACTATATCTTAAACTTAAAAAACTACATCCTTAAAGTATTATTTTTAGCAGAAAACATTCTTTAAGTTTATAAATGAACAATTTTCATCCTTTTGTTAGATATTGTCAAAAAAACTAATGAATATTACGAAAACATGAATAATTAACGTGATCATCAACAAAAGTTATTCTGCATAATTTCATTACTAGCATATTCAATTGAGAAGAAACATATTTAAACTAATAATATTTTTAATTAAAATTACATAAAAAATTAATCAAAAAAATGGTCAAATTAAATTTTTTTGCATAACTCTTAACTCAATTACGAAAAGTTCACGATAAATATTCTTGGCATATCTAAGAATATTAATTAGGAAGGGAAGAATTAATTTTTGTGTGATATATCGGATAGTTTTACGAGATATTCAAGTAGAAGGATGAAAATTGCTCGCTTTAAAATACTTAAATGATGTTTTATGGTAAGAATGATACTTTAAGGACGTAGTTTAAATTTGTCGTATAGTTAAAAGATGTTTTCTGCTAGAAATAATACTTTAAGGATATAGTTTAAATTTGAAATATAGTTAAAGAATAATTTTTAGCCAAAAACTCGTTTCTTAGCATACCAACTACCATATAGTAGTTGCTATTAGTCCTGCCATCCCAAGCAATAAACATCTAAAAAGTAAAAACCCATTATTGTTAAAAGGCAAGAAAAATTAAAGCAAACTCATGTACTTCACCTTTTATCTCAGAAGAAAACAATTAAAATATTCATAATTAAGTCATAAACAACCAACTAACAACTACCACATTTTTTCCATGGTCTCTTTTGATATAAGAATCAAATTCCAATTAGATAAAATTAGAATCCCAGCATGTGCAAGCAACCAAAAGCACAAAAACAAAATATCAGAGCAGAGAATGGGACACACACTGATAGCAATTTTTACCTATTCTTCCAAACAAACAAAACAAAAAAAAAACATAAAAATGAACTTCTGTCCATTCAGTGACCCCAAACAATGTTAATGTAATTGAGAAAATCAACTCATTTAAATAACATAATACAATTATATTAGAAAAATATCTTCTACACTAATCAATCACCTCTTCTTATTCTTTTCCTTGCTGCTGGAAAAGATAGAGCTCAAACCGAACAAATTTGCTGGAGGAACATTCAATACTGGGCTGATTTTAATCCCATTGATGTAACCTGGAGCTTTTCTCAATGGAGGTTTTTGATAATGACCGTCTGAGGAAGAAACAGAGGATGGCGATTTATGAAAATGATGTTTGTGTTTCATGTTCTGAGTTGAACCGGTTGAATTACTTCGCGATAGAATTGGTAAAGGACATAAAGTTCTTACGTAACTACTAGTACTATTACTACGCTTGAATCTCCAAAATGACTTTGAGCTCTGTTTTTCATCTGTTGATAACCTTTGATTTTTGACGCTTGCGTTGTAAGCGTTATGACTGGGTATGGCCAATTTATGACTTTTTATGGGCGTGTTTTGATCTGAATTTTTGTTTGGTGGAAGAGATGGAGGGATATTTTTTCTTTTAATTTCAATAGGGAGAATTTTTCCATCACAGAAAAGTTCATCAGCTGAAGTAGATTGAAGATCAAAGGTTTGATGAAATACACAAAAATCAAAATCAATAGTAGAGGAGGATGAATTAGTTGATGGAATTTGAACAGAATCTGTTTGTGAAATGTCGTGAGAGAAAGAAAAACGAGGACTAGAATCATCTGAACATAGTTCAATCGCCATGGTAAGAAAAATACGTATGAATTTGAAAGCATAGGGGTTATGGAAAAGATGAATTTAAACAAATGGGGTGGTAGAGGAGGGGGCCTAGGGTTAGCAAAGTCCATATCTAACTACTACACTAATGAAAATTGCAACCGTCAAACTGACCCCATGCATTGAAAAAAACAAGTTTGATTAATTTAATCTACTAGGGAAAAGTGGAGTGGAGCATTCAATTTTGCTACACAAAAAGCTTATTGTTTCTTTTATTTCACCTCCATATTTTTTTTTACCAAGATTCATATCGCATAAAAATAGATATAAATTAATTAAAATATTGATACTTCATCAGAAATTTGTATGTCTAAAATATTAATTAAAGAAAATGCAACATCTAGAATTAATCTCGAGACACACAAATTGCAAAGAAGCACAACACGCCAACTCAATTATTTGTTATAATGTGCACGTTTAATTATATGAACCTTATTTAGGAATATAAATGTATGTTCACATAATTTATTTTTTTAAAAGTTAATAGGTGCATGTTCGTCACTGCCTCAAAGGGAAAAGCTTCTCTAACAAAGATTTTTATATGCATGAAATTTACAATCAAGATCTCTTACCAAGAAAGAAACTGATTTATCTGAATGCTCTACTATAAAAAATTATCGCTGCGTTTAGGGAATGTGTTGAAAAAGGTGAAGAATTGAGGAGGCACCGAAAGGCAAGTGAAGATGGATTCTTGGAGACTTCATAGTGAAATCAATTTGAATTATGTCATAACTATAATTTATTTATTCATAAAAGGAGAATCATTTTATGTGTGTTTTTTTTTTCTCTCTGCTTATTTTTGGCGGAAAAAATCATGTGATAATATAAAAAAAATATTAATATTTAAATTCTTGTCTAATTTTATTCATATCAATTAAGTGGGTTGGTCAAATTTTAATTTTATCATCAATTCTGGAAATGGTAAATAGACTATTAATGAGTCATAATCATTTATATTCATGAACCATTAACTATTCTTTATTATTCATTGACATTTAGTACTTTTTATTGTCTATTATTCATTAGCCATCAATTTATAGCCTTGAATATGACTTTTACTTCTATAATTTTATGTTTGATACATTTTCAAACTACCATCAAAGGTCCAATTCTTATTGTCATTAGCTGCTTATTTAATTTATTTATTAATGTTAAAGTCTCCAGCCATTTTCTCGTGAACATTACGCAAATTTACTTTGCTTATTTTTTAGCTCTTACTTTTTCGTATGTCGACCGGACATGAGAATTATCTCAGCTCATGCATGAGTTTATCGAAATAACTTCTGGTCTCTCACTTCCTTCTATTCAACATAGGACAACTTTTTCAAACCAAAAGGGCTCAAAAAGGTTCAATTAAACACTTGTAAATTTTTTTAAACTCGTAAATTTTTGCATATAATTTTTCAACTAAGGGTATGCTTCCGCCCCTTTACGTAGGATTCGATGTATTTACTTTCATGTATCCTCCCAACCAAAAGTTTCTACATTTGCTCATGTAATGTCATTTTTCTTTCAATTAGCATCCTGATATGCTCTTTTAATTTGGAGAAGCTATATATGAAACATGGCATGAAGTACTATTATACACAAAACAATGAAACATGACACAGGAATTATTATTATCCAAAGCTATGAGATCAGACATAACATGATTCTCCAAAAAATTGATTCACGCTATCTCGACATACAACCACACGAGTACTTATTAGCATATCAATGAATAGCCACCAGGCCTAAAATTAGCTTCGCCTAAGTCTAGAGGATTCTATAAATTCATTTGAATTGACTTATTTTAGGATTTTTTGAGCCAATAGAATTTATTGCAATTAGTATTTGAATTTTGTATATCAAAAGCCAACTTATTTGGATCAATTTTGAAATATCGCATTAAATTTTTACTCTGTAAGTTATTACAATCCGCAATAATTTTATGATCAGCTATTCTTCCAAATTTATGACAAGCCAAAGTTGCTCATCAATTTGAAACTAGTTAGAATTCGTGACCAAATTATGATGATCTGATATGATTTATGAAGCATGTTTTGACCAAATTAGTTAATACACTAATTAACATATGTTAGCTTCATTAAATTATATAATAATAGATTTTAATGTAAATATGCTGTGGATAAGTTTTTTCCTTTATTGAATATTTAAAGAATTAATAAAATTTTCAATTGAACTGAAAGGAAAAAAAGAGAGAGGATTGTCAGCTGGAGGAAACTGTTGGACTAAAGTGGGCCAAGTGGATAAAGAAATAAAGGCGGGAAAAACGGAATGTTGATTCAAGTTCCTCTTGTTACTGCCTCAACAATGTAATCCGAAAAATAGCAACAAAATTCCGCCGGTAGAATCAACGAGGAAGAGTCACCGGCCGGCCAGTTGGAGGAGCTCCATCAACAAACTCTAGCCGCCTCCTTCTGGCTTCCACTGTCTCTCTAATTGTTAAAGCAATTGCGTGCAATGCACAAAAGCTGACCAATTTCAACAAAAACCTTTTCGTAGAATCACGCCTGCGAATCGGAATCGGGAGACTGGAAATTCAATTTGATTGTGTTGGAAGAAAAAATGAAGGCGAATTGGGAGGTGAAGGATTGTTGTAACCACGACCAAGTCATCTTCCTTGTGACCATTGCTGTCTACACCGTCTTCATTTTTATCGTAACTTTCTCTCTCTAATTCTCTTTCATGTCTTTGTCTAATGCTTTACTATCCTGGAAAATGTCACCTCCATTAGAAGATCCAATATTTTTTTCCCTCTCAATTGTTCAAATTGGTGCGCGGTAACTCTGTTGTTCTATGGCTTCTTTTTTTTTAACTTCAATAACAACTAGGTCACCTACCTGGGTGCTTGACGATCCAATAATTGACAAAGCATAAAGTAGCTAATCTATTATCATAAATTAGGTCATAGTATTATTAATGACGCCTATAGCTTGGTTTTCATGGATTTCTTTAGCAAGAATCTCAATGGGCTGACATAATTAAGTTTCAAGAGGAAATGTTGTTCATTACGCAGCTCCAAATGTTACAATCGAAACTGAGTACTTCTAAATATTAGATCACCTGCTTTTGATTCAAAGTCAGTGTGAAATTGGATGATTTAGATAGTTCCTATGGGAATTGATTAAAAAAGCTGATTCATAACGTGCTGCTTTACCTCCATGTGTTTAAGCTTTTAAGTAATACACATAATTTGGTTGACACATGCTCCATTTCATCTGTGTGTATATGACATCTGATACGATAAGAATATTTTGAGTTGATAATTTTCAGTAGAGAAAAAACTTGATGTGTCTATATGTTTATACGTATCAGCTTGTCTTTTCGACTCATTGATGGTCTTCTTAAGAGTAAATAGAATGCCGAATTTGCATATATTCACAAGTGCAATACCATGTAATTAGCAAAATAATCTAGCCAGATTTCTTTGCATATGGCAACTTATCAAAAGTTCTACGAGTAGAAATTAACCAATTCTTGTTTTAGTTTTTGTCTGAAATATTTTTTGTTGTTTCTTCTTTGACGGTTTTTCACATTCAGTTTGCTTTTTTCTTTTAACAATTGAAACAGTTATGGAGAACATTTATTATAACTCCTTTCAAGCTCATTACTGTGTTTCTTCATGAAGTAAGCCATGCAATTGCTTGTAAGCTCACATGTGGAGAGGTAATCTCTCCTCTTCAATTCTATAAGATGTAAATGATTTAGGAATTTCATCAAAATCATCTGTACTTTTATACCAATCCAATTCCATTACTATATAAACCAAAAGTGTGATGTAAAAAAGTGAATTGCCTTAAACCCTGGTATTATGTGGCTTGTGGTGAATGATAAGACATGGTTTGGGTGCTGCTTCATGCTAGATTATCGTGTGCAGAATTGGTTTACCAGATCAACAGAAGTTGATAATGTCATAATTAATTTGCACATTAGTTTTTATCTGAACAATTCTTGTTCTGGTTTACTAGTACAGGTGGTGGGCATAAAAGTTCATGCCAATGAGGGGGGAGTGACACAAACTCGTGGTGGTCTTTCGTGGGTGATCTTGCCTGCTGGATGTAACTACCCTTCCTTAGAAACAATTTTGAATATACTTTTAAGCACTTGGCTTCATTTCCTAAAAGACAAAATGAAGTATCTTCTTAAATTAAAAATTGATATGCATTTCAAAATTAGCTCATCCTCTATAGTTTGCTTTGTCTACTTAACCTTTTCTCTATCTGACTATTGTTGTCATTCTTTGTTTTCTTTTTTTTTTTTTGGCCTGAAGATCTGGGTTCATCTTTTTGGGGAATGGTTCTCATACTCGCATCGACAAATGTTCTCAGTGCAATGATAGCAGCTGGTTGTTTTATTGCCGCTTTGCTTATCGTGCTCTGCCTTGCAAAAAATGTATGAAACTAAGACTTGCATTTATATGTTGAACAAAGACTGTAGATAAACAGGTTTTTAAATTATTGTATCTTAAGTTTTACTTTTTACTTGTGTAGTCTAACCTTGCTTTTCTCTCTTGAACAGTGGACACTTCGCGGACTTTGCATTGGTTTGTACATTCAGGATCCTGATAAGTTTTAGTACTTGATATACAACTGTTATTTTGTCTTCAGTCATTGATTGCAACAGACTGCATTTTCCAGGATTCATCATTTTCATTGGTGGAATTTGGGCTCTGCAAATACAAACAGAAGTTCGTATGCTCCGTTATGTAATTCTCTTCATAGGTGTGAACTTCTCTTCGTCCTTTCTCCTTTCAATTTTGCTGTGTTGCTTATAAGGGGATTCTCATTTACTGCAGGTGTTATGAACAGCTTGTTTTCTGTATATGGTATGAAGTATCCTTTCTATTTATGAAATAAGAATCCTCCATCGAAGATGTGACTTGGCCTAACAAACATGACAATGCAGATATCTATGATGACTTGATATCTCGAAGAGTGAACACAAGTGATGCTGAGAAATTTGCTGAACTTTGTCCGTGCTGTTGTGCTGGTCCTTTTTGGGGAGTCCTCTGGTTAGTCATAGTTTTTAAGAAGAGCTGATTCTTCTCATTATCTTGTGGTTATATGTTATTCACCTACTGTGAACAATTTTATAGGGGAATGATATCTTTTGCATTTCTTTTTGGAGCTATGTATCTTGGACTTGCCCTTTTATCTTGAGGTATTTTCTTCGCTATTACTTCTAGTTTTGTTAACTTGTAATGTTTTAGTGATCAATTTTATTTTTCTTAAAGAAGGGAAAATGAAGTTATGTCAGCCAACTGTTAATACAGAAAAATGGAAGATATTATGAGAAAGCTTGATTTGTTCTTAGGTTCTCAGTGACTTATAATTGTTTTATATTCTTCTTGTGGACCAAAGGGGCTAGACTTACATGCATTATGAAGCTTTTAGCTTTGAGGTGTCCTCTGAATCTGATTCTTTTCACCTGTTTAGGTCTTTTCAGATGGTTTAACGTCCTTACAATATGGCAGAGCAGAGTTCCTATCCTCTGTTTAGTATTTCATCAAACATATTAGATGTTACATTCATTTGTCCCGGGATGCACTCCTGTCCTCAACCCAGTGAGCACATTCTTTTTATCCCCTATTAGATGGGGTTAGTACAGTTGTGTCTTGTATTTGTACCATGGTTTCCTGTTCAGCTGATTCCTGTGCCAGAACCTTTCCAGACATTTGTAAGTCGTGGTTCAATTAGACAACAAGTTATGCAGAGATATCCTCTATTGCTGAATAGATCGCTCACTCTGCATAGATTAGGCATGCATGCATTCCAGCCCCTTTTAGTTGAAGTGACGCTCTTTGTTTACATCCATTAGTTTGTCAATTGTTCTAGATTCAGTAAGTACAGAGGGTTGTTTGATGCCTCAACATGATGTGTTACCCCTTGTATTTTGTTCAACTAGAGAACTTGATTGGTTTTCCAACTTCGAAAAGTGTCTGGCTTTTGGAAAACAGGGAGTTATTGAAATATCGCCTGGATAATCCTTTGAAATACGACCTGCAAATCCTCCCCAAGTTCTGATAATTTCTCGTTTTAGCGTTCTAATTAACCATAATTGAGGGTTTATATAACAGGTTGGCTAATCAAAGGAATGAAACTATGCACTATTATTCTAACAGATCTAGCTCTAGCACTGACATTAGATACAAAGAGACTGGCAACTGGGACAGATCCAAGCTTCAGATAACATATGTAACAACTAATGTATGGTCAAGTCATACAAGTTACAAAGGTGTTAGACAATCTTATATATGAGCAAAATTATCCCGTAGTAATCCCACCAGAAAGCCACCAAATAAACTTACCACCTTACAACTGGTTTGATTCTCTACTACAACCCCCTTGTACCCTTAATAAGTGTAGTCAAAGGCTACAGCCATGACACAGTGCACACTACAACTTAAAGATAAGTTGCACTTAAATACTCGCAGGGATCAATCAAACCTACTATGTGGCTGGCAATGCCAGTCACCCTATAAACTTAAGAGAGGTCAAGAATATTCCATTTCACCTATTTGTATAAGTAGACTGCAGGCAAAACATTTCGGACATGGATTTGGTGATGGCAGCCTGACTTTTGACATAATTTAGATTGTAAGGTGGTCACAAAAAGCCTTCATCTAAAAAATCTGGTATCATGATGCTTGAAAGTGATTATACACACGATCATATGTCCAAATCATCATCAGGGTCCTCATCTGAATCTGGCATCTCATCATCTGAATCGCGAAAATATATTATCTCACCCCTCCCAGAATCCTCTGTTGTTTGCAGTTTCTCAACTGAAGCTTGTTTCTCCTCATTTTCGCTCTCGTTAAGTGATTTACGACCATCATAGATTTGAATGGGTTTACCAGTTCCTGAGAGAGGCAAAACAACAACTTTTACTTCTGAACTGAGTTTTCACTTTATCTGCACAGCAGAGGAACAAATCTGTCATAACAAACTAAACTCAAGGTCCATGCATACCTTGATGTTCAAATGGGAGTACAACTTTTGCTCGGTCTAATCTTTCCTTCTCTGACAATTCTAAATTGAATTGCACCTGTCACAAAAAATATTTTTGGCATTAATGTATCTAACTTCCAATTTCTCCCAAAAAATCTGTGCATATATCATAATTGGAGCCCACTGTAGGTACACCTGCACCATTGAAAAAAAAGGGGAGAAGCTAGTACAGTACTTACTATATTAGGTTTGAACTGCAAAATAACTCACCTTGGGAACAAGACTTTGTGCAGTGATTCCATCTTCAGATGAAACTTCAGTAATTTTGATGCCTGATCCCTCAACATAAAGCTCTTCCCTCTAAAAAAAATAGATTTTTAACAGTGTAAGATGAAGTGTTCATGCTATCTTATGAGGGGAACAGATAAAGAGGTTACCATCACTCTGACACGTCCATTTCTGCGTTTAAAGCGTACATGAAATTTTCCTCTCTTAAAGGACTGTTCCACCATTGGGAGGTCCTCTGAGGTGTTTCTCTGTCCATTTGTTCTTTGAACTATTGGTTCCACATCCGCATGCATAGTGGACAAATATTCAAGAGTGGCAGCCACCTTGGCCTCATGAAGGTCCACATGCAACAAGCAGAATATGCATGAGACCTGGTCTGCGAGCAAGATAAATTTGTTTAGGTAACTCCTTGCAGTCCATACAAGAACATGCCAAGAGTATTTTGGTTCTGTTTGACAGCATAAACCAAGCTGGTGGACTTATTTTTCTCAACGTTCTCAATGGATTATACCATTGTGTTTATGCCAGGCAGACAGAAATAATGGAGTAACCATATCCAGAAAAATATATATCCAGGCAAAGTAGGCAGCGACAAGAACACAGTTTACTACAGATAGCAGGGGTCCAAGGTAGAAATCAGAACAAAGTTGTAAAGGCAGCACGAAATCTCCTAAAACTAACCATAAGAAGGAAACTTCATACATCTAGCAAAAGGAAAATTTTGATGCCCAAATCTGGGAAATGCAGATATCATGATTTCTCCAGCAGGAATATCCAGTTGTTTAGGTTAACATATAATTGTGGCTTAGTGTTTATAACAGATGGAAGCCAACAGCAAATCTTGATTTCACAGTTAGCTGTCATAACATTTGCACCACAAAATTTTCATTACTAAGCTACAACACATGATGGCCAAAAATAACTGTGCCTACCATGACTGCGAAGATGACTTAAGATTCTTGCCACGGAAGGTAGAGATGAATGTCTCAAGATCTCACTAACCTGGAAAAAGAATTAGAAAGTTAATATGATGGTATTCAGAGAAATGGAGAAATCACAAATAGGGAGACATTTGCTGTTTAGAAATGCAGTAACATGCAAATGTTCAAACTGAAATCAATGGATTTCTTAGTATTAAAAAATTATGCATGTCTCTAGATCTTACTGAAAATTCAGTTATTTCTCTTTCAACAACTGAAGCAAAAAGTAATTCGCTTCTTTAGTTTATCATCATAGCCTTCAAATTTTTTGTGCCTTAGTATCTACTTGTAATGATAAAACATTTAAATAGTTGATTCACTGCAAAGCAGTAGCTTCTTAAAGAGATTAATCTTAATAGTTAATACTTAAGTACTACTTAGGTGGTCGTTTTGCTTTCCTTTCTTTTTTTAATTAAAATTTTACCTTTTGGTGACAGGAAAACTTTGCATTAGAATTTGGAATGATACATCAGAACTCGGAACATCATTTTACCTCAAAAAGGAGGATATTTCTAGTTAAGTAATAAGAAAGATTTACGCAATAAATACATTGTCAACTAGCATCTCAAAATGTACTGGTACTTTAAAATTATCAACTTAGATATACAACCAACGCAACCTTTCTCAAGAGAAACTCTTATCATTTTGGAACTTATAAACTGATTCAATGCCACAGAGCTAGCGACATTATTTTGAATGAAATACAGCATAAACCAGAAATGAGAAGTCCTACAGACAAATTATGCTTCACCTCCTATTTGGTGAAGACAGGTAAATAACTTAAAAGAAGTGAGACATCTAACTGAACGCCATGCTACAGTGAGATATAAATGCCTTAATTAACACACTTTCTATTTCTAAAGCATCCTTTTCTGCACAAACTCATCTAATATCTTGATCTAGTCGGGTAAAACAGTTCTTATGAGTAAGAGAAGTGTTCAGAGTTTGTTTAAAAGGTTATGCAACTATTTAGGAACCATATCTTATTTGCTTCCCATAAGTTGACAGTGAAATCAAGAATGATACAACTAGAATTCTATATTGCTAGAGAATTTGACTAAGCAACTGCTTTCGACTGCATAGGCTGAAGATTTTCCCAGTCAACTAGACGAGGCAATTATTTATCTTTTCCATAATTTGAAACATTGTGTATCGAGAACTCGGAATTATTAAACCTGAAAAATTCAGTGGCTACATTGAGATTTGAGCATCAGTCTCAATAAAACGAAATATGGGGATCAGTTGATGGAGATGATAAACTGGCATGATGGTATAGCCACTATGCAAACCTACAAATTGTGGGTTCTAGTAATAAAACAATAGCTCTGGTTCAATACTGTAGGTAAAGTAAGAAACTAGAGAAGTTTCCTCGCGTATAAGTGCCCAATATTGTGTGCATTCACAAAGGGACAGGAGAACTTTCATGGCTTGTAACTGGAAAGCAAGGTAGAAGAACTAATCTAAGAAAAATCTAGGAAGTTTCCTCAATAAATGTGCGCACATTTATGTAGCATACTGACAAAATAGAAGGTGCGACAGAACTTTAAGACTGCTGATTGTCATGTTTGATTGTTTTTTATGTGATTGATGTTTCAATCGCTAGAGAAATGGATAGAGTAATTTTTCATCCTTTGAAGAAGTTGATGACCAAAAGGTGCAAGTTTTTACCTAAATCAGGCTTCCTATTGAGCGGTAATAAGAGAAGAGAACCTTTTATGTGAATGCTGGACGAAAATTCCAACAGGCCTTCTGAGAAGTTTCCTTCAACAAAAACTAACTAGGACAAACTATTGGTTGCTCGCTATCTGGGATAACTACACATCTTTGCAACAAATTACGGTATCTAGAAGTGAAATTCAAACCAAACAATCTGAATCAATGAAAAAATCACTTGACACATAAGCAACATCCATTCTCTGCTTACTGAACCAAACTAAAATTAACTAGCATTACCGAGTCTATTGCAACTGCAAATCTCCCTTTTCCCTCTTCAACAATTTCTGCAATAATTGCAACAAACAAGATCCATTTGAATTTCCCAAAGCACAACAAAAGTTTATCCTAAACTTTGGGAGTGCCCAAATTAACAAAAATTCTCAAATCCTTACCTTTTCCAAGTTCAATAATGGAAGACAAAACCTTGTCCAATTCTTTCAAGTTCTTACATAAGGTAGTTTTCAGTAAGGTCTCTTCGTAGGGATTTCTTACAGTTCCCCTCTCCAATAACTTGTTTTTCCATCCAAGAGGATCAGAATAGCAATCTAAAACTCTTAGCCTGATTTGTGAGCAAAAATCAGTACATAAAAAGAATCACATATTTTATCCTCATAATTAACATTTACTCACTAAACGAAGGAAGATTCTAACCATTTACTCGATGAAGAAACGTCGAAACCTTTATTCTTCAACAGTTCAACATAGAACGATGGAGGCCGTGATAAAGCGACCAGCACAACACCTCTGTATGAACAATCAATTAACGAATTTATCAAATTATCACATAAAAGAAGTTCGATAACTATTAGTGAATTTCATGAAGAAGCGAACTGACCGAGCTTGTGATTTACCGGCAAGAATGTTAGAAGTAAGTTGCGTAAGAATATGGTTGAAGACGAAGGAACCGAGAGGCGCGTCGATAGTATCCTTTATAGTTAGAGCAGGAGCGTGTTCTCCTTCGAATGCTCCATCACGTAGAGCTCTACAAATTGTTTCGGCCATTGTTGAACACAGAGAAATGCGAATTCCGGAGAG